CATCAAAGAGAAGAGGGTTCTTGAAATGATGTGGGTGTTTAGTGACTTGTCCGATGTTCAGACTCAGATAGCACCCCTCAAAAAACAACCTATATCGAGGTTACCTTACGCCAAAATTAAGATCTTAAGTTATTGATAAAGATATTAGAGATATCTTGCTTTGGAAAAATACACATTGAAAACAATTCTTTAATGCGTGGAGGTTATTACTAGAGACCTTAATTTATTTTACCTACTATTCAATGTTGAAATATCTAAAATCGCTATGCAACACGCGTGCGACATATTTGACTATAAAATTGATGTACACGTTGATAGGACACACTTGTCTTTGCAGTTAAAGCTCAAAACTGTGACAAGTCGGTATTATCTTCTAAATTAGTCCGTGATAGGCCTATCTGTGTTAATATTCCCATCTACTAATATGCTAGCTAATATTCTGAGTGACATAAAAGAAACGACAGGCAAAACATAACAAAGAATCGTAACATAAATACTTGTCGTAATTTCCCTTGCATTCTTTTACGCTTTTTATATCTACTGACTAAAGTTACTGAAGAAAATGTGATAGCTTACGAAACATGCATTTGTGTCTTCGTCTCATAAAAGCTCGGCCTTGCAACTGTACCACACATTGCTGCTGCGTCTTCACCCTGATGTGTCCTACTGCCTAGTGAGTCTTCGGAAAGACGGCTCGCCCTACGATGAGCAACTTATTGTTATGCAAATTACAGACAGGTATGGCCCATTTTAGGTGAAGGGCTGTGGCTGAAACTGTTCACGAGTGTTTACGGTCAAAGACATGTACATGTACATGAAGATTTGACTGAGGTCCACTTGTTGTTAAAATACACCACTTTATTCCACAAATATTGTGCATGCGTCTTTCATTGTGCAGTTTCATATTTCTTTGATTTATTACTTCCACAAAACTCAACACCAGGGAAAGAGGATGAATGTTGATTTTTTTATCGATCAATAGGCGTACCTATAATCCTGTTTGTTGACATGGAACGGATAAATCCTAGTTCCGTTCGGAGCCACCAGCAAATAAATAGATAAATAAATAAACACCGAGAAACCTGTGTCCCAACATGTTATGGGCTAAACAATACTTCATTAATACAATATTTTATCGCAATACTGAATCTAATCGGCCCTTTCTAAATAACTGGCAATTACGTGTACTAGTATATGGATAACGTGATAACACCGTTGCCCGGCGGAGTTTATCTGGCTGTCATGAAAAAGTGAACAAGGTTTTACTTTTAATACCATTCATTCTGAATATTATTTGCCTCAATCAATATTTTCAATTATTATATAAAGTTTTAGTTTTTCTTGGATTTTTACAGATTATCATACCTGTCAACATCGATAATAGCCAAAGAAGGAGGTTTCTTCGGACACCCTACTGAGTACGTCTCCCATCTGAACTCTCTCCCTCTCTCTCTCCCCCACACACACTAAATAAATAAATAAATAAATAAATGCTGTTACTTTTAATTTCGAAATTGTTTTTTTTTCAATGCTTAGGTAAGAAACATTTCGGCTTTTTAAAGTAATGTATCAGCAATATGCTTTGTCTACACAAAATAATGAAAACTTAAATTGGCCAGTACGTGATTTTGTTTCATTTCAAATAAAGTCTTTCAAAGTTTGTCTATCGGTAAAACGTTTAATAGAATTTCATCAACTGTATAATAACATCCTGTTTTAATCAACAGATAAAACAAGTTATATTATCACTTTCTGTGTCCGTCTTGTCGCTTTCGTCGGGGTTAGCTCAGCTGATTGCACACCTCAGGTAGAATGTTACAATCAAACCTATGATCATTATAGAACATTAACTCTCTGTCAATAACACCAAAACATAATTTAGATTAATTAATGCTACGAAGAGTTTGTCCGTTTTTTTTTTTTTTTTCTTTATGAGACTATTCGAAGTAAATATGTTCTCCTCGTACGATCGATTTCGTTTAGCTCATCCACTAAGATGTACATTATCTGACTGAGTTTCACTACATCTATATGATAAGATACAATCATGGATCCCCATCCCAGGAAGGTGACCCGGGTTTACTACAAACACAATAGATAAAATAATCACATTTTATCGGTCATTATACTAGATATCAAGCAACCAAGTTTAGCAATCTGATTTCACACGTAGAATGGCGGAATGACTGACAACTGCGTGGGATTGTGTTAGGGAAGACAGAATGCACTTTTTACCCACTTTTTACGCGTATCGTACCAAAAGTTTATTATGCTAAATCAAGCCGTCTTGTCACGTCTATAAATTTTAAGACAGATCTTTATTCCAAATAAATGAGGTAATCCGTATTAACACAAAAAAGTTGTCATGCATGCTGTCATTCATTACTCACGCACTGTGCATTACTCACGCAGTGTATCCCTGAGTAGATGAGCATACTGTAGTTTGTTACCTCCGTCAAGGAGGTTGTTTTCACCCCTGTTTGTTTGTCTGTCATCAACGCAACTCAAAAACTATGGACCAATTTTGATGAAATTTTCAGGAACTGTCAGAAGTGGGCCAAGGAACAGATGATTAGTTTTTGGCGGTGATCCGGGTCAATAATCAATTTTTTAAATGTTTTTTAATATTCAAACCAGCTTAAAACTATGTTATAAGGGAATATTATACTACCATGCAATGCACACATTCTAGTTAAATTAAACCAATAATCAATATTTCCAACAACAATGTAATATCTTCAGCTTCACATAAAACAAAGGAAATTTATTTTATTAACATTGCCATCCATTTAAAACAGTATAATTTATAGAATACTAGAGTGTTAAACAAAGTTTAATAAAATCAAACCAATTCAATGTGGAGTAGACAATATTTCAACTACTTAAACCTCACAAAAACCATAATTTCTTCTTCTTCAAAAAAAAAAAAAAAAATCATATTGCTTATGAGCAATCAGAAAAGAAATTTAATCACTTGATTGTCTCAGTTAGTGGGTCAAAGTTTAAACAGACAATACAGCTCCACACATTTTGATATTTAATTTTGAAAGAAAAGGCTAAGAACAAAGACAAGTTTTACATCAGTCTCTTGTGATAACACACAAATCTTCTAATGGGGCTATCATAAAAGTTGTGGAAAAAATAATAAAAAATATTAATACTAAATATCAGTGTTGCCTGATATAAAACTGAACACCAGAAAACTATGGAACTTGAAGTGGTTCACTAATTATTTCTGTGATCCAAATTACTGTTGAGTTGTAAGTAACTTTGAGAATAAAAACATGTCCTTATTAGTTCTACTGGTCAAGATTTGCATTTGATGAAGTAAATCAGATTTGTCCTTGCTGTCATGCTGATAAGAAGGTAGTCTCCTAGGTTTCTCTTTAGTTGATGAATCTGGAAAAATGTCACAATTTCTTCTGAAGATATCCATCGCTTTAATTGATCAAAATGTCTTTAAATAAAGATATCATTACACTGCAAAATAATATATTAAATACCCAACTGCAGGAATTATTTTAGTGAGCAAAACATGACACTTTTTCATATTGTCAACTAATGCAGATAAGGCAACTGCTCCTGACATAAGTATTTGATTAAATTAATTAATTAGTTTGTCTGTTACCCTGATCTCCATGACAACAGGTCCAGATGATCCATGTCAAAGATGGCGTCCAGAGCCTCAGCAACCAACAATGTCTGGTCCTTTCTCACGACTTCCACAAGAAATGAGCCAAGATTTTGACAGAAAAAACAACTCAACATCAAAACTGGCAAAAACAGAGACACCAAACAGCAACCAAAATTTCAACAACATTAGCAAAAGAGTTTTAAAAATTCTAAAAGCAATCAAAGTGTTCCCTTTAACAACAGGTAAAAGAAGTAAATGTTTTTTTACTCTTCACAAGCTCTGTTGGTTTTCTGATCATCAGTAAGCACTTTCATGTCAGAAAGCTTTCAATATTTTAAGTTGTTATCAACTAGACAAAACAGTTCATTTAACACTGGTACTATTCGCTGTGAGTAAACCATGAACTTAACCATACATAATGTACATGTACATATCTGGGGTACCTTGTAGGTGTGTTTCCATCTCTGTCTTAATTGTGTGGTGGCCGACTGATATTACAGATATTTTCAATGAAAAGTGTTTCCCTGGCCTATTGGTGCACTCATCTGAAAGATAAAACTTAACATGGTCATAAGCTGAGAGGGATAAATTATGTTTGAAACAGAAAAGCTGGCAAAAATACAGTCACAAAAAGTAAAAAAAATTGCACATGCACACACATTAAAGGGATAATAACTCTTTGTATGAGATCTATATTTCACAATTAAAACATTATGAACAACTTATAGAAATATAATATATTCTGTTTTACCACAAAAATGACAGTTATAGCTATTATTCTGATATTTGAGCTTGTCTTTAGACCACCTGATCTGCATTGATGGCTATACTCTGTTATAATCTCTTAAGAGATTATAAAAAAAAAAAAAANACAACTTATAGAAATATAATATATTCTGTTTTACCACAAAAATGACAGTTATAGCTATTATTCTGATATTTGAGCTTGTCTTTAGACCACCTGATCTCCATTGATGGCTATACTCTGTTATAATCTCTTAAGAGATTAAAAAAAAAAAAAAAAAAAAAACAGGGACTAAAATTGAATGTAAAAATGGATTCATTAACTAGGCCTGTAGCCAGGGGGGTTCCGGGGGGTTCAAAAGAACCACTCTTTTTGCTGGGAAAAGGTCCACTCTGGGTAAAATTTGACCTATGTACTTGAGGATTTTATGGTAAAAGGTTCACTTTTTCAGAAAAGGACCCCCCCCCCCTCTGACATTGCTGGCTACAGGCCTGTTAACCATTGGTAAGTATGGAAAAATTGTTGTTTACTCCTGGAAAAATCTTTTTTTTGGGCCAAAACGAAGAGTTATTATCCCTTTAAAATACAGACTTGACATTTAATATGGAATATTTTCTTCGAAATAATTTTTTATCAGTTTTTTCTTATTTTGCTCACTGATAAATGAAAATAAGGATTAAAATCTTGTTTTAATAACTTTAAATTATCTCTTTGATGTCATTGTGACATCAGTTCATTAATGGAATTCGCCAGAGAAGCAAACAAAAACACATTGCCTACTCTATGTCATACTACAACCATTAAAAGAGATATTTTGGATGTCCATATTTTACAAATTATCATCTGTAAAAGGGTAATACGCTCCACAAAAGACCCTCATGTCAGTTGCTAGTCACAGTAATGGTCGTTGTAACGCTTGGCCTCTTCGTGGCTGTTGCCAGCGCTCTCAAGCGGCAAGGCATTTCTTGAGGGTAAGTTTTTAGAGTTCAATCTGGAATAGCATTCCAGGCAACGGTCTAAAATTGTCCAATCTGGTCCAGTTTTGTTGTAGGACATGTAGGCAGTTGATTGGTGAGTAATGGTCTACCGAAACATTGTCTATGTGGTTCTAATGTGGCGATTTTGATGACCATGGTAGCTGCTCATTCCCTTGGTTCTGTAAGTTATCTGCTATTAAAAGTGCTCTGTGAGAACCTGCAACCTCATCGTGCAACCAAGAATTGTTCCTAAGGTGCCCCCTATCAAATGATAGACAAGTGGTTCCGAGATTATTCCTTTATTTGATCTGGTTCAGGTTTTCGTCGATGACTACCATTGGTGTTTTGGCACCAATGTGGAATCTACTCCAAATACTGACGCTGCCAATCACCCTTGTCACTTTAGACCCGGCATATGCTTCGTCGTAGGCCTCTTCTGGATATCTGTAAACTCTGTTTTGACTAATTGGGCGGTACAGGTGAAATCTGACCTCAATAAAGAAAGCCACGCAGTTTCATTGTTCTACCCAGAATCGTTCATGGCCCCCAATTCATTAGAGAAACAGACGACGATGTTTTGCTGTATACAGTGGATACCTCGAAGGTCATTTGGTGTTCTTACCTGCTAAAACCAGTTTGGTGTTCGCTAAGGGCATTAAAAAACGCATTTTAGTGGCAATTTTCCCCTCGTTCTGATCGGACTAAGTGTTTTTTGTTTAGCTGCAGCAGCGTACCCCGAAAGACAGTGGGTCCTGTACCCTGTAGGTTAAATTGTGATACATTGGGGGTGACCTCTGTGTAGGTACATCACTCTGGCCATTACTCTATAAAACTGTGGGGACTGTTCCGTTTGGCGCTATGATCTGTCTGGTTATGTCTGTCTTTCTCGCGCCATTCTGCCTTAGATATAACAAATTTGTAATGCACTACTTAACTCGTCTTACGCACTGCAAAACTGACCGCTTGCATGCAAAATTTCAAATTCTTCTATGCAGTAGTTGCCAAAATATGGATACTTTTTTGACAGAACCAAGCTTTGCCTAAGCCAAGCTTTGATCAGCCCAAAGGAACACTACCCAATTAAATCACTGCACATTACATAATGTAGCAGCGCATCAGGCATGAAAGTCAGTTAATTGGTAGTGACACACCTGACTGCACACTTTTACATTCACAAATCTTAGATGAGATCGGAGTTTTTTTTAAAAAAGAACGTATTTTTACCTAGGTATACCTTCGAAACTGAAATATTCCATATTAAATGTCAAGTCTGTAGATCTATTCTTGCTCCTTTTAAAAAGTAACATGCCTTGGTGGAGTTCATGAATAAAGTTTTAATACCTATAACTGAACTAATTATTTTTATAAATTTCTTAACCTGAACAAGCCCAGTAGCCAGGGGGTGTGTGGGGCCCCTTTTTGCTGGGAAAATGTTCCCTCTGAGCAAAATTATATCTAAGTACACGAAGAATGGATAGTAAAAGGTCCATTTTTTTTTCAGAAAAAGAACCCCCCTTTTGAAACTGCTGGCTGCTGAAGGGTTTCACAAATTGAATTAATTGAATGACTTTTCACATCATGTACAGAACCAGCCTGGCATGTGTGACAAATACAAACTAACTGATAAAATCACTTCTTGTCTTTTAACTAGCTAGATGTGAGCTTGATGGAATGTCATGTTACATGTTTACCAAAGCTTAGTGAAGTAATAACAGATAATAATATGCAGTGGGTTATGCAGATAACATCTTTAAATTATGGCATCTGAAGTATTGGAGAGAAATGACTTCAACCAATCAGATATGTCCACTGTAACCAGCAGTTAACATCGTCCAATAGAATGACTGCATTCAAGATTTTAAACAGGGGATTCCTACTAAAAACTTTATGCATTGCTCAGTACAAAAACTAGGTAATGTTAACAACAAGTTCATACAGAATCCAAATGGATATTCTTATGGTGCTCTGAGAGTTGAATTGTGAACACAATTTCAGTATTGGAAAGGACATATCAAGCCTCAATAAGTCTTAGCACCTTATCTGAGTGACTGACTGGCTCACAGCAAAATGTAAGTCAGTGGTGAAACAATGGCTGACAGGAACTGTCTGTAAAAGGAACGACAAACCAAAAAAGGAAATTATGTGAATAGTAGCCTTGGAATTGGGACTCAATGTAACTCATGAAATTCAAGAAAATAATTATACTGGAGAGAAACTTAACAAGTATAGATTCTGTAACAAGACTTTTATACCACCAATTAAGTACTTACACCATTCAGTAAAAATGTGCACAGGAGAGAGACCTTACAAGTGTAGATTCTGTGACAAGACTTTTACTCAAAAAGGCCATTGCACAGTGCATGAAAGAATTCATACTGGAGACAAACCTTACAAGTGTGGATTCTGTGACAAAACTTTTACGGAGAAAACTTTTTGCATACGTCATGAGAGAATTCACACAGGAGAGAGACCTTTTAAGTGTAGATTCTGTGACAAAACTTTTAAAGACAAAAAATCTTGCAAATATCATGAGAGAATTCACACAGGAGAGAAACCTTACAAGTGCAGATTCTGTGATAAAACTTTCAGAGACAAAACTAATTGCAAATATCATGAGAGAATTCACATAGGAGAGAGACCTTACAAGTGTAGATTCTGTGACAAAACTTTTACTCAAAAAGGTCATTGCACTGTGCATGAAAGAATTCATACTGGAGACAAACCTTACAAGTGTGGATTCTGTGACAAAACTTTTACGGAGAAAACTTTTTGCATACGTCATGAGAGAATTCACACAGGAGAGAGACCTTTTAAGTGTAGATTCTGTGACAAAACTTTTACTCAAAAAAGCAATTGCGCTGAACACGAAAGAATTCATACCGGGGACAAACCTTACAAGTGTAGATTCTGTGACAAAACTTTTACAGAGAAAACTTTTTGCATACGTCATGAGAGAATTCACACAGGAGAGAAACCTTTTAAGTGTGTATTCTGTGACAAAACTTTTACTCAAAAAAGCCACTGCATTGTGCATGAAAGAATTCATACCGGAGACAAACCTTACAAATGTAGATTCTGTGACAAAACTTTTAATGATAAAACTAAATGCACTTATCATGAAAAAATTCACATTGGAGACAGACCTTTGAAGCATAGACTTTCTACGAAGACTTTCACTACAAAAGGGAATTGCACTTACCATGAAACAATTAACACTGGAGACAAAGGTTTTACACAAGGTTTCTGCACTGTCCATGAAACCATTTATACTGGAGAAAAGCATGATACATGCAAGAACTGTGACAAAGAGATCATAACAAAATTGGCCTGCACTAGCCCTAAAAGAATGCACACTTGTGAGAAACCAGACAGATATGGAGTAGAATTCAGTCAAGGGAATAATTGTAAAACACATGAAACAATGCACAACGAAAGAAAACATGATTCAAATAATATATATGGAACTTTAGGCAATGAAGGTGAGCCTAACAATTCTCCAGATTCAGAGGGGGAGACAGATGAAATAAGTAATGTGGAAAATAAACTGACAAACAATAATGCCGTAACCCATCATATATATGAGGAAGACAGAACAGAATACAATCATAAAGACGATGACACTTTTACCACGGAGAATATCACCATCATTACTGACAATGATGTCTATGAAATACTTACTGGCATAAAAAGGACCACACCAGGTCTCATTATAACAATTATGAAAAATCCTTTCTACGCCTTTCAATGATGTGATCAGATGACAAAAACAAACTATTACCTTATAAATTTGCTATTTTTGGACAACTAAAGAACAATCAAATGTAACTGCTTCAATTTTTATTTGGTTAGTATTCATCAATAATCATTCAGAATATATTTTATACCTTGTAGGTTCAGTATTCATCTGACCATTTTCTTCCATGATCAGACACATTGTCTATGATAGATCATCTATAATAAAAGAATTGTACTTAGTCAAATACATGATATTACACTAGAAAATCCCTCTCTATCTTTATTGTTGAAAATAGAAAGGGAAATAAACCAGTGTTTCATTTTCATAATTTAGATTATTTCATTTTTTAATGTATCAAATTTATATATATATCCAATGACTTAGCGGCAGAATAAAGAGTAAAAAAAGAAACTTCGTTTTGTTCAATTAAGAAAAGATCAAACTCCAAATGAATACTTGATTAAACCACGACACATATTACAGGCTTTAAAGTAACAGATTCAATGGCAGCTTGACAAATGAGATGTTGAAAGTGTTTAAAATCTCAATAAATAGAAAGAAAGAAAAATGAAAAAAAAAAACCTATAAATGTAATACTATATGCTTTGTCTAAAAGAATTCAATGTTTTATCACTGTTCTCTGTCAGCACCATTTCAATATTTTAAGTTATCAACTGAACACAAGTCCCCCTAACACTGACAACATTCTGTATCAGTTAACCATAAGGAATACTGAGCTGTAGTCAACAAATTAATTTCTAGCATAATAATAATAATAATAATAATAATAATAATAATAATAATTATAAAAATCCACATACCATTTTACTGTAACAAATCGAAATGTCAAAACATAGACAATTTGGTGAAAAAAAAAGAGGCTAACCCATTCCTGTCTTCTTACTGATTTTTATCTGCTATCTGCACAAATCTCAAAAACTTGCTTTTCTAGCTACAGAAATCTGTTGACAGAAAATTTATGTCTGATCGCGGGTAATTATTGATACCATATATAAACTTAGTATTAATACAAAATCTATGAAAAATGCAAATATAACCCATTGACAGTGGCCCCTGTATTGTGGTCAACTGATGATCCCATCACTAATGGTCAGTTTACCTGAGTGTCCTTAGTGCTGTCTTCCTGACTTGTTAACAACCGACCATTAAGTGAAGGCCTTGGGCTGCCGGACCAGGGTGGAAATAGTGCTGCGATCACTCTGTCTTCATGTAGAACTTGGACAAAAATATTATAAATATTACGTAGTTGATTGTGAAAGAGTTGACTCCCCCCCCCCCATTTCCCCCTCTTACGCCTAATTAAAGTTTGAAAATGCATAATAATAGTAGTGACTGATTCTTAAATAAATTGACTGGTTAGTGCTGAGGGAACGCATTCGGCCCCTGGTTGTGAAAGGGTTAAATGCCCCCCCCCCCTCCTCCCGTCTCGCCCTATTCCGGCTGCTTACCCTGAGCTTTAGAGATAACTTGAAACAAACATCTACACTATGGCATACCCTTGTCGTTTCCAGTTACTTGAAACGGCAAGGGTTAATTGCTATTAAGATCTGAAGTTCAGGGTGCGGCTCCTACACCTGTGTATCAAAACTATCGTTGGCTGGTTCATCTTCTGCCGGGAGTCGAACAGTTAACGTGGTCAACAAATTTTTAGGGAGACACTGATGGCATGGAGATGTATCATATTTGTCTGAAAGTGCTACATGGTGAAACTGGAAAAGTGGAATATTTTTACACTTGTCTAAAAGATTGCAAAAGCTCTGATTATAGCAGCTCCACGCTTTCTTTATATTTTGCTGTTGAACTGATACTTCTCTCACCCGTCCACCTCTCCCTAAAATGTTCCACTCCGGAAAAAATCAGTAATGCTATGGGAGAATTGTACAGGCAATTGACCTACATTCTCCACTGCAGTTATTGGCGCTAGTTTAACAATATTATGACTTGGACGTGATAGCGTGATTCACACCTGTGATATGGATGTTTATAATTTATATAAATAAATTCATTAACAGGGCGTGTCAATCAAATAATTGGAAAGTTGAGAGGGTTAAGAGACATTGTTATGTACAAAAGTAATAAAAACTGTACATGACTCAAAAACAGAAAAAAAGCATTTTTCTCTTATATGCAAATTAGATTGCCTGTAGTAATATAAGGCTGTCCGGAAGTGATGTTCACATCAGAGATTTCAAATAGCGGCAATCATGATCACTTAAGCTATCTTAATTTTCATTATTTTATAAAAAAAAATAATAATAATAATGTATATTTGAAGCTAATTAAAAGTAATTTCCCCAAAGTAAAATAACAATTTTCTTCTCATTATAAATCATTGTTCGACCCGCCCTTCGGAAGAATTTTGTAACAGCCAGAAGACTGAGAAGGGCTTCTTGACGAGAGCCCCGGTGTACGCCCCCTCCCTCCCCTCGAGAGGTACTGTAAAGATCACTTTTATTAATATGTTCCAGCGAATAGGAAAAGTTGATTTTTTTTAGATATAAATAACTCATAGACTCTATTCCAATGCTTTTTTTCGCATTTTTTTGTCTGTGGCTCTGCTGATTTTGAGAGAGAGAGAGAGAGAGAGAGAGAATTTGTCTAACGTTAAATCGCGAGGATGTGGTATTTAACTGCTATGAAATTTCCATAACTTTCATGTTCATATTGAATGATCATTTCGGCAATAAGATTTAGATAACAAGATTATGCGAATAATAAAGAAACTGAGAAAAAAAATTCAAGAAAGATTGCATTTTTTTTATTTTCCACACAATCCAAATGCAATAATTTACCAGTTGACTTTTACCAGTTGACGCCAATCACTTAAATCTGGCATTGAATAAGTGGCCAAATCATGAAATATGTGGATTATATTTGGCGTTATGACGTTAAAATTTTAGCGTGGGACACAAATAGAAAAAACGCACTGGGTCTTGCGCTTTGGTAGTTGACCTTGCAAGTAATACTACATCTTAGATATTTATGAACAACTTAATTCTACATTTGTATAGAAAGATCTTGTACTCTGATCCGTTGATGAGGAGCAAAAAGCACCAAGAGAAGTGCATTAAAAATATCTTTATCGGCATATTTATAAAAATATAATTTGTTTGTTTTGGCCTACAATCAACAGCGACCAACGTCTTGTCACACCTAGCACATTATCATCAATTCTGTGGTAGACATCACAATCATGTTGAGACAGAACAGACGCCAGAATATCACCCTGTATAATAATGATTATTTCTTATTTATTGATAAGATATTGATAACCCAGTGGGTTGAAGTTCTAGATAAAATATTAAGAGCACTACAATAATAATAAGATACATTTTAATGAATCTAAGGTTCCATCCATTTCGTTCTACGTAGATCAATCCAACTCTGCTGAATGCAATCAGTTTAACAGATTAACACACCTCTTGTTTCAAACTTTCTCGTAAAATCACCACCTTTTCTGTATTCTACCAAACGCCAGGCGGAGGCGTAACAATTTGAAATATCAATTCCCGAAGAAAAAAAAAATACTTGATACGAATGGAATTTCATTTCTTTTATGTCATAAAATATGTTATTTGAGTGCTGTATGTGCAAGAATCATGTGATGTATGATATATGTTGAAATCTTGTATATGTCAATATTGACAGCATGTAATGACAGGAGGATATTGGGGAGGTAGAATAAAACTGTTATCACTTGTGCATGACAGTACTGACGGGCGTTATGATAATTTGTTGTATGATGCAAAGTGAAAAAATTCAATTTGAATAAAAGCCTTCGGCAAAATATAGGCATAGCGTATTTTCACGGCGTTTGTGCTGACGTGTTAAATTATTGCACGGATTTTCCTGGAATAAGTGGTATATTTCTTCAACTAATCAACCTTTCTTTCCTGCCACTGGCCAAAATTATGTTAAAATCTGGGATAATTTAATAAACGCCTTCGTTATCATGACCAGGTTCCACGCACACACACACACACACACACACACACACATTCGCAAGTTTATCTGTCATTGTGAAGGTAAATGAAGACTTCAACATCGTACATTCAGATATGATCACATGCTTTAAAGTTTATAAAGTTTTAGTCTGCTGATTCCAGCAGATGGCGCCATAGTACAATCCGGTCGGTCACATATACTAAACTCTGTTCAGATAAAAACGTGCATTTGATCATAACCAGTGACGTAAATAATGTTTTATTGTGGGGGTGTTAGGGTATGGGTTTAATTTTATTAATGGCGTATTTTGAAATATATCTAACACAAATGCGTCCTATGCATTTTTATTGCAGCAAATTGCAAATGAGAGTTCATCTATCAGAAATTGATGATAATTAAGTTAACAATGCGTACAAAATATCCTGCGTCCTCCCCCATGAATCATATGTAACCAACACTCCAGAAAGAGATGTCATGTCTTCATTAGTTCTGAGTGACCAGGGAGTGGATGCGAGGCGGTCCAGATACTAAGTATACGAATATATCAGTTTTAACCGATTTAGTACAACGCTGTAAGATATTAATGTTAGGTATTTGATGATAACTTATTTGTGATTCAGTTTTGATGCCTGAATGCTTAAAACTAGTTTTGGAAATACCCCAATATTTTCCCCATTTTGCTTCCTCCACATTTTCGCCAGCTCTTCAGATCTCATATGCTCTTCATGTTAATTGAACTGCGTTAGTAGATATAGTCGTAGGAGTAAACGTTTTTTGTGTATTTTTCTCATTCTTTTTGAGAAGGAGAGAGATAGTATATGTAGGAAAATAGGTAGTTATAAAACTTGTTTGCAAACATCATTAACAAAAATAAATTCTTATATCCAGTAAAGAATGAAGTAATTTTTCTTCAATCAACAGCTTAATATTGAAATAGTTTACCTTTACTTCCAATATTTTGATGTTTAACAGAACATTCATCATTACTCACCTGGATAGCCTCGTTCCCTGATTTCAATATTAAGCTGCTGATTGAAGAAAAATTACTTTATTCTTGTAAGCTAAAACAGCTGATAATATTCTTCTCTGATTTGTCCAGTTTAAATTTATTACATATTGGTAATATTACATTGAATAATATCGTTTTTGCTAATGTCTTGTGAGCTATACTTTTTAAAATGTGTTCTTTTATCCAATAAAAATTAGTGACAAATTGGGAATATTACATTAAATAATATTTTTTGCTGGCTTCAATTTTTCATTTCTCGTTCTTAACTATTTTGAGTTCAGCATATAAAATAATATCACTCTCTTCGAAAACATGGGTTTTAATTTCAATTCAAAGGCATATAGTGCGTGTTACACATTTACCTAGAAAATAACATCCTGAGAAATTCAACAATTTCCCTTTATCACCAAAGCACTCTCTTATTCAACACCGAGGACAAAAGCACGATGCATGAAAGTTTTAAAAAGTCAAGTTGTTATATGCCGTACTCTGTTACTTCCCAGAGCGGTTTACAATAGATAATAACACGTTTTGAGTTGTAAATTTCAAAATGTTGCCGCCATAAGTAAAATTGGCCTTTGTCTATTTTCAATACGAGAGGGACTTTTTTGAATCTATAAACGAATTTATGCAATAAACTGTTTTCGATACCGTATACCTTGCACCTTGATGATTTGTAGTTAAAATTTCTAAGAAAATTAAGGATGTAGATAACAGTAAATTGTCAAAATTTGGGTGTTTTTCTGAATTTGTCAGTATTAGATAGATGAAATATCAACTACATATCAGCCTATCTTAAAATAATGGAAGTTTACAAATAAACCCGTAATTTTAGCCTAATTGCTGATTTACCCCTGTGGTAGCATGTCTGAGTTTTAAAGTAGGTCACACTTGTCCATATATGTGTTTGATTGGCAGCTCCACTGTGCAGCTGTATATTTCCCGTACTAGATTGCTGCTAACCTTTCACATTCTGTGGGTAACGTTGCGCTTTCACTTGCCAAACAATACTTTTCATTTTGAATTTATCAGTGAACTTAATTCTGACGATCTAGTAAAGCTTTAAAAAGCAGACATATAGATGAGACGTATATGGGCAAAAGCACTCCCCCTAGGTGTCACGTGGTGAAGAAGGCTGACGTCACGACTAACATGGTGGCTGCTGTCAATACATGGAGGGGGCCTCCGGTTGAAAATGTTCAATAATAATGTTGAAAATGGATGAAAGACATATTGACAGTTACATAGGCAGGGAGTAGAGGGCTGAACCAGTATAAATAACTAAATTTCTCAGCTTGCCAATGCAGCTCACTGATTATATAACGTTGGAATCTCCGGGGAGCACTAAAAGGCTGATTTCTCCGCTTCAGTTTATGGCTTCAAGAGAACGATTTAGACCAGTGTCAAAATTAATTAGAACTCTCAACCGATGAAAGCTGGTATTCATTCGTTAGATCTAAGGTTTGTCTGAAAGTATGTGTCTGGGATTTCATAACATCAGCTCCGTTTTCAACTTAGGCATGCTTTAGTTAGGCTAGGGGGTCTCGTTGAACTGGAAACCAAGTTTATTTTGATATCTCTGCTAATTTACCACATATCGCTAATTTGAGGCGCATTCTTGTTGATCCCTATGAGGGCTCACGAGTCAAGCTGTCTACACATGTCCATTTGTAGTGGACTTCTAGTTTTTAAGGTGTAAAGATCATGTTGAGCACACCTATTAAGCATTATATCTCATTACGTAACGATTACATAATAAAATAAGGATATGAAATGAAGAGCTGTTGAAATAAGCTTTCTATTGATATGTAACATGTTGGTATATCTTGGCCGGTTTAGAAGATAGCTACCCCTGTTATCTACATCCTTAAATGACTTTATGGATCTTATTGCTTTGGACTGTTCTGGATATCGTGTACCTTGGTGACTTATTGCTAATTTTTTTTTTCAATTTAATGACTTTATGGGTCGAATCGCTGTTAACTGTTCTGATTATTGCATGCCTTGGTGATTTATTGTTGAAATTTCTAGGAAAATAAAATGTTAGCTACATATGGGACAAGCACTCACTATGGGGGGGGGGGGGGGGGGTATGTGCCTTTGCTTTACTTTAAACGCTCAGAGAAGAGATTAGAAAACTTGATTTCATAAGCTTGTTCTTGTTAATGAACCAATTTTCTGATGTCTAGGTTCGTAGTATGTACACTATGACTTTCGGAAAATGTACATTGTAACTGAAAGATGATGTCTCTTAAAGAAATCTAGATTCTGTGTAAAGACGAAAGAATTATTGATACCATTTTTCAAAATCTGCTCAACTTTGAAAAACTTACTTTCTGTTATTAGATCGATCAGTAGGTGCAAAAATGTTTTCTCTCTACATGTGCTATGTGAAATTAATTTTTGTTCAGTTCATTGCAAAACATTTGTCACCAGAGTTGTAGAATTGCTCATGATTTTAGGTATTTAGTTATTGAAATAATTCTTATTATATCGTATGGTTAGAAACAGAAAAAAATCAACGTCGGCTCTGGAACATTTAAATGTAGTCAAAATGTGAAATTCTAGGTAATTTGTAGCATTATGCGTACTTGATAATGTTAGTCCAGAGTGGGTTTTCCTTCTCGATTTTTCTGATGTTAAAGGTGGACTGAATACCAGATCCAGCGATGTTTTTTAAAGGAAAAAGTCTTTTCCGAAATATTTTCTTTAATATCAAACATAAGATCATACTTCATAAAAAGTTTAGTTGATAGTTTTATTTGTAAAATCAAATAGATTGAATTTGTTACATTTTTAGTGAATTCTAATGATCTCAATAACTTTGTTGATACCATTATATTCAAACCTTCAAAACTTAAAAAAAATCACAATTGTAGTCGCACAAACTGATGTTTTACGATGGTTAAATATACATGCATATATGGAATGGAATTTTTTTTTGTTCTTAATAAAGAAATACCAAAATTATTCAGTGCGTTGTATTATTTTCATGTTCATTGGTACCCACGGGTTGGGGTTCACTTTCCTGCTCGCGTACTTGGATAAAACCGAGTAATTCCAAGTCTTTTTAAAAATTTCCTTTGGTTACTATAAGAAGAAAGTCTATCTGGGGAGGGTGGGTGGGAACAGTTAGAGGAGTAGGTAACGCGCTTGCCTCTCAGACAGAAGGTTGCCAGTTCGATTTCTGGCGCCACTGGGTCCCAGCAAATTACCTTTTACAAAAATAAATCCAAATAAAGAATTTCGACTTCTACAATACAGTGCTACGAACACCGTATAGTAAGAGGAGTCGGTGGTTCTGTAGTTAAGAAAAATAACTTCTATTTAGTTCATAAAACAATATTGCACATTTATTATTGCACAAATGAATACAAAAAGTAACAGCATTGTTTTCACAAAATAGTATAAAACTTGGAATACCTTTTTTTCTTCTTAATGTCAATTTCATAAAACGTACTATGAAATGTGAATTAAGCTTTTACATGTCAAGATTCTATGCATTTTGAAAATTTCTACTTGGCCGGCGTAGCTTTTTGATTTATAAAGGAGTTCAGGAATATTATTATAGACATAATACCAACAAGATTAACAAAATAAATAAATAAAATAAAAACCAAAACATTACCAAAAAAAAATGTTTGTCTAAATTCACTGGTGTGAACGGTATAGAAAATTCAATATGCATATAACCTCATCCTATCCCGACACATGTACCCACATGCAAGCACTATGTCGTCTTGCTGATGTTCACAAAACAAAAAAAAAGGTAGATGAAATAATAAAATTTAGTAAGATCCCTGGTTGTTTAGTTCATCGATAAATATTGTCATGCGCAAAACAGACGTGTTTTTTCATACGAATTGCTTAAATATGCATTTCATGGCACAACTTTGAGCGAAAACTGAAATTTGTACAGCATGCGAATCAGGAACGTCATAATGACATGACCAACTTACAAGCTTATTTCAACCATAGCTATTTTAAAGAATAATGTGCAAAGAAGAACGGAAAAAAAGATTATGCAAATGCACATTTACTAAGACAATGCTAATAAACTTAAGACTGGTCTCCAGTGTTCAGTGATCAAGTGACATTCAGCATTATAAGTCGACAGGACATGCAAGACTGACATCCGATAAGGAGTTATTCTTCAATCACTCTTTGATTGCGACCAAAAAGTCAACTAAAAAAATACAAGGCACATGGCCAACCTTTAACAGAGCGTTGATCTACACACTTTTGTATAAATATCTTATACTGAGAGAATTACAATCATTCATTTTTTGTTTAAAGAAGCAAAATACAATTAAAAAGTAATTTTGTACGATAATTCGATGGTTTTTCAAAGAATTGGCTAAAAAACTGCTAGCCAAAATTTAAGTAAATTTACGAAAAATGTCAATTTGGCTTTTTAAAAATTGTATCACATTCTTTGTTGGGTATACTGACAGAAATTGGCAATCTTAAAACCTTCATCGAGTACTCATTTTCAAAAAAAAAAAAAAAAAAAGGCAGCTAAAATGATTTATTTGACTTTGTCAAGAATTTGTCGAAAATTCAGTGTGTAAAATTTTCTGATGAATGTCAGTCCTATATGGACCCTTTAATGAAGATAATATTCCGAAATAAAACATCTTCTGTAATACAACGATTTTCCTTTGTGACCTACCACTACTGCAATAACAAATGTATATTAATTTCGGGAAAATTTCAACTCCTTGGTTTCGTTGCTAAAACCAGGGAGACATTTGACCCCTCCCATCACTGAAACGTGAAGTTTATTTTATATGCGTCACAATCGGACATTTAAACTAAAGAAAGATTGTTTCAATGCGTGTGGACAGCTCTGCAATACTAATGACGCATTCTGCCAGTTTGATAGTGCTGCAATTTCTGAAAAATAATTATTTAAATTACAGCGATTTATTAATTTTCGGTGGATGCACATCTCGTTCTTTTTTTCTTCAACTGAACACACACTATAACTTCCAAAGACTTCCATAAATGCATTTTGCACCGTTGGTACGTTGTCTTTCTTTCCAAAGTTAACATCACCAAAATAAATACTAGAATTCAATTTTAAATAAATAATTGTTCACGGAGAAATGCCAAATTGCAGATTTGCCCTCACAAATATGTTACGAACAAAAAGAAAACCGATCGTCCTACATGCGCTTGTTGTTTATGTTGCCACACCTACACGGAAATAAACCACTACTACATGTACGTGTAGCAAAGTACTCTTCCTGAACACTACTTGGTGATAGTTTGAAAATAACTACAGTCGATTCACAACCAAAAGCAAACATTACACTTCATATTAAGTTTCAACTCTGCAAATTTACTAGCAGACGAACTCTGACATGCTACATGTAATCTTGACATGGATGCAGCCGCTGTGGAACACGAGTCTGACGTCATTGATGGAGAACGGATTCTATCTCCTCGTGCACGGTTGAGTCACTGAAATTAAACAAAAACCACCTTTACAAATCAATGTCTAAGGGTTGATTAAATAAAGCAAGTTTTAATTTTACGACAACCGATTTCGATTCTTATAGTAATATTCAACAAACCACTTTTCAACTTTTAAATGAGATGAATATATATATACAGTATACTGAGCTGACACGTTCTAAGTAATCATGTACTTTCAAACAATATAATTTCTATTCTTTTACACCGTGTACACACTGTAACGTGACAACATTCTGTGTCTTTAGAATCACACGTCAGTGGTGCTACTAAAAAGATAGTGGCCCTTGCATTACGTATGAAATGAAATTTTAGAAAAAAAAACATATGACAGGAGGGTTAAGTAAAAACAAAATTTATGAGATCTTAGAAAGAAGAACTACATAGTCACGACATGTGCACATTGGCGGGTAGGGATTTGCTGGGGTGGATTTTAATTTTTTTTTAAAAACCAATTAGGACCTGAGAATGTAGTTACCTGCCAAAATATCCTTACATTGGTTGAGAAGGAAGACGCCTTTACTGCTGGAGCAAATCTCTCACCACCCGTTTCCTGGCAAATTCATTCCATCTGAAAATAAGAACAGATAATAAACTATTTTAACGTCAAGTTGAATTTGGACTTTAAATGTAAAATATTGTTGACGTCAAGACAAAATGTCGACATGATGGCTTTTTTGCAAATTGCGCATTTTCTGGTTAATATCATTAACGCCAAATAACCAATGTTATCTTCCGTCATATATACTGTACCTACAACAGATCGCTGCCAATTTTAGTCCCATATTTCCGACCATTTCGTAGAAATTGTGGCAATGAGACACATGGCTTTCTTCGACATCTTTTACTGACCTAGGTCCTTTCTGAACACCTCTCACCAAAATACTCACCTAGATTACATAATAATATATAATAGAACACCTTCCGTACTGAAGCCTCGATATCAACTTTAGAATTTGTAGTATAATACCGAGCAATCGTGGCCCACATCTTAGGGAGATGCTGAAATCATAGTGGCAAAAACAAGAAAAATTTTCTGAATTTTTTCCACAACAGCTGTGTTATGAAATATTAAATATACATAATTGTGTCGTGTTGGAATTACATCCCATTGAAATTTAATTTTCAGAAAATAAAAGTTTAAAATATCATGTTAATTTGACATACGTTTAATTTGTAACGAGCACCGGCTCAGTTTCCATTTCATTTGTCCCGTGACCATATCCGTATATTGATTACATTGGTAATGTTCACCATGATAAGGAACGAACAAAACCGGTAGTTTTTTAATTTTACCTCACCTCTAGCATCATTATCTCAGCATTTTTTTCTCTCCGTAGCTCATGAAAAATGACAAGTTTTTTTTCTTTTACTACCATTCGTTTTTTAAAAATGATCCAAACATATCTATTGGGTGTAAAAGAACATGAGTACGAGTAAAATAATATGTTCAGTTCGTATACGAAGTTCCAATTTCGAACCAGCAACAAAGAAAGGATTATGGAGCAACAAACATCGACATCAGCGTTAATTCATGTTACATCATATCCAGAAAAGGAATGACAACTGATTTAAGTACAATTAAAAACGCCTGTGAAAGAACCCGGGACTTTTTCACGTTGTTAATATTCATGTAGTCTCTCGGTTGAAATAAAGAACCCGACTTTTTTAACGCACTGCAAAAAATAAATAATAATAATAATAATGAATAAATAAAAAAATAAATTAAAAAAAATAAAATGCCCCCTACCTCCAGAAAATTACGACATGTATTGTTATAGACAGGTATTGATCAAATTCAAACAGGCTAATTCAACTTTGAAGGTAGCTGTCAAGCGCACACGACTATGAATGACAGTCTAATAAACAGACTTGAACACAATTACTATATTTTTTCCCCGAACATGTAAAATTCCAATATTCACATCCTTTGATTGACAAGGTGCCAATCATATTCAGTTAGTTTTGATAGCTGCTGTCAAGTAATAACAGCTTGATTGGCAGTTTATATAAACAAACGTCAATCACATTCAATACACTCTACTCTCAGACCATGCAAAGCTCAAACTTTTATATCCTTTGATTGACAAGGTGCCAATCATTTCAGTTAGTTTTGATAGTTACTGTCAAGTAATAACAGCTTGATTGGCAGGTTATATAAACAAACGTCAATCATCGCGCACTGTGATTTTTCTCGCTGTGAAACAGTGAGTACGCCGAAAGAGAGCGCTCAAATCTGAAGTTAGGATAATAATTAACTTACAAAATATTTCAAGAGAATATATACAACCTGTTTCCAAGATAGTTCTCTTTCTCAACCCTTCAGCATGTATAATACAATACTCTAGATTACAAACTATTTTGAAAAAAGAATAATTTAGTAAAAGAAACCAATTTAAAAACAGATTCAAGTAAAGAAATATGACATTTGACGTTATTCTGGAGGTAGCGCATGGGTCATTTCAAAATAAGAACAACTATAAAAATGTATACATGTACCTCAGTATGTGCGTGGAAGAAGGTAAAATAATTGTTTTGGCATTATGGATGGAGTATTGACAGATTCTTTTACGGTCAAAGGTCTATTTCATCACTTATGCGCTTTGACAAACACTTAGTCAACCTTAAGTCAGATGCAAATTTGCCATAACGTTATTTTTCATTATTTCCATTTTATCCTTTTTCTAAAAGTAAACGTTTTATTATTTCATTAGATGTGAATGTGTTTTTTCAATAACTGGTTAAGTAAATAATTTTGAAACTAGTAAAAGAAAAGTTTTGAAATTTGTTTTTATGGCTGGGGGTAGTGGTGACAGAATGGATACCTGGATTAGTAAGATTTTCCATGTTCCTTGATTAAAGGTAGGCAAGGTGATTAAGGGGGGGGGGGGCAATTAAAAATGTCAGTTACTGCATCAATGGGATGCCTGGATCAGTGAGATTATTTGTTTACCTCAACTCTACCTGTAGTTAAAATTTGATTCAAGGCATGCACAATTTTCTCAATATCAGGGCGGGGTGGGGGTGGGGGAGCAGCCCTGATACCATGTTGGACTGGGACAGCCTTGACACAGTTAGCGAAATACAGTATATACAGCCACAATGACATATTCAGCAAATTATTGTGCCCGCAGTTACTCGTGCCTTTCAATATTCCAAACATAATAGTATGACCTTATAGCCACCTGGATTATTACTTTTTTTGGAGAAATATTAGACTTTGTGTTTGTAAGTGATATGTATAAGGGGGCACTTTGAAGTTTTGAGCCAAATGTAAGCCATAAAAAGAACAAGTAAAAACACACTGAAATGTTTAGAATATTTACTTTGTTTATAAAATAAATTTTACAAAAGAACACATACCAACTTGAATCTTTGAATCCTAAATCTAGCATTACTAATTCATCTTTAACTAAATTTAGAAGAGTTGTTAACTTAACAAGACACAACTGCATATGTCATCCCACAATTTGTATGAGTATCCTAATTCATATTGATTCCATTATGGATTATTATTACATTATTGCATAACTTCATCTAAAAAGAGAAAAACACGAACTTCGCTCATGTTCCCCACTGTCTTTGCATGCATATTTTAAAAGCTTACAGCATGAACAAAGCCTTTCAGGTGTAGTCATCCCCACTGGCTCCCATTTATTCCAACCATGTTCATGAGGTGAAGGATTTAACTGTATCATTTGCCAGCTTGCTGTCTATATTGCCAGTCTGGTATTAGTCCATGTAGTATTCACAGGTGGCAAGAGAGTATTGGCAGTTCAAGGCAGAAGCCTGTCTATATATACTTTCATTATCCAGACAGAACATACAGTCTCATTCAACATTCACAAAGGTGAACAAAGTAAATTCCTAAATTGCATTCACAATTTACACTATATTCTTGTTTTGTTAAACAGTATTATTTGTACTCATAAAAGATACTGTTTATGTAATATTCAGATATATTTCAGGAAATATCAAATAAACAAATTTTCAACTTGGCAATGTTTACAGACTGACATCATGCACAGTGTATATATATATATATATATAGTTGCCTTCCAAAAACTTCACCTTTCCCTTTCCACTGAACTTGACATTTGGAAGTTCTCATCCCCCCCCCCCCCAAAAAAAAAAGTTCATCTCAGTGAATAATCTTAATCCAATTTTAACAGAGAAACAGCTGTAAATACACTCACTGTACTGTGACATTTCTGTAACACAGTCCAAAATGTGTGATGATAGAAAAGTCCCACAAATCAAATAGTTGTTTTTGTGATGTTTCTCACCTCATAGCAAGGGCAATTGTGAGTTCAATGAATGTTCACACAATACCAGTATATATTTTCTGTGGGCATGCAAAAAGATGTCCTTAGAAAAAGATAATGTGACTTTTGGTTGGCACTGAAATCCCAGAAACTGCATGTCCATCAGTCCAGTGATGAAAGTTACAATGTTTGATAACTCTAATCCCTTTCTTCTGCCAGCTGAAAAGGAAATTAATGTAATGCATTAATAATTTGTTCTGAAAGTAAGTAGCGCTTAATAACCATAGTCAAAACCTCAACAGAAAAAAATCTACAATAAAGAAGCAGCAGTCAGTAATTTTTCCAAAAACAAACCCAACTTAGAAGTAGACTTGTCCACTATTATAATGATTTAGGGCCATTCCATTGAAACTATCATTCTATATATATCTGCTCCAACTCCACGGAAATTCTGGCCGAATGCAATCAGATTAACGTGCCTTCTCTTGTTTCCACAGACGCGTATAATCACCAGCTTTTTTCTGTATTTTATTCAATGCCAGGAGGAGGCATGTTAATCTGATTGCATTCAGCAGGAGTCCCCGTGGATTTGGAAGTATCTAGGTAGTTTCATTGGGAATGGGTCCTTAGAGGGCAACCTACACTGTTTGTGTTCTACAGAAACAACTCTATTCAATTATTTACTGACAATTCGAAACAAAAGATTTAAATTTATAATACCAAAACAAGGTTTTTGTCAATTTAAAATAAAAAACTATCTGATTATTACCTGTAGCCTCTCTTGAATATCTTAAGAATTCTCCATATGTAACTTCCTCCTCTGCTTAGAAGACAATCAAGCCATGTTGGACATGGACCTCCTTGAAGTGGGCCAAAGTTCTGGAAAAATACAAGATACAAATACTATATATCATATCATATACAAAAATACAACAAAAATACTCCTAGGAGCTGGGCCAGAGAGATGCACCAACATGGGATACCTGCTGGCTGGAGCTGAAATAATAAATAAATGACATTAATAGTACCAGTCATAGCTAAACCATGGCATTAGCATGAAATGGCACATTTATAGTTCTCGGTGGACACTGCTGAAAAAAATATTTAAAAACAATGCGTTATATTTTTCATTACCTATATTTTGTACAAGAATAAGTACATTTACTGCACTGTATCCAATGTAGCTCTGTAACAAGGTGATAGGAGATATGAACCCTTAATCATAATGCTTCATTAAACGCAGACATTATTTCAGATCTTTTGTGATAAAATCAAAGGTAAAACTTTTAAGAAAATTTTCTGGATCAGATTGTAGTATTTGTTGTTGTGATTAAATTGGTGTTAAAACAGTGCTGTTAGCTGTTCAGGTGAGGGAGATATATTTGAATTTAATATTACAGTTTTCAAAAAGCACTGCTATTATATAATCAAGCTGGCAAATTCACCCAGATTTATTTTTGATGCAACAGTATTATTTCATAACATGACACTATTTATTTCCACATTATCTAAGCAAATAAGGAAAAAACCCAAGTGTTAATATAAATCTCGTAAGTGATACCACTGAAAGCATAACAATTGACAAAAAAAAAACGCAGCATGAAGATTCCATAATCAATACAACAGCTTGAAAATGCTTTAAATTTATTTATATGTATATATTTATATATGTTATGTATATATAATGATACTGTCAAAATAAAGAAAAAGATGACAGTTGCGGGAGATAATCATTTGTTTCAAACATTGCAGTCTAGCAAAATATCATTTTAGAACATGGTTCCTCAAAAATTTGTTTGTTACATTACTGCAATAATACTGTAATAATACTGCTTACCATATTACCTGCCTTTCTCTGGCTGTGTAAATCTCACTTGTCCTAAAACTTGCCACATCCCATGTGTTGCATATGTGGATGAGATGAAGGCTATAGGGATGTTCTTGCTGATTTTAACTGTCTAATTCCTTATTATTAAAAGCCCTGTCCATGTAGCCAGCTGCTGCCTAGAAGCCACCATGTCATACAGAAAGGTGCTGGAAAAAATAAAACAGTCCAGTCAACCACTAGTCTTGGTCATGAAGATGTCTGGTTTGTTTTTGTACTGGATACAGTATTTGGCACTGCAGCCAGTTGCAACAAAGCGTCAGTGCCACCTGAGCTTGGGGATGAGGTACGGCTGACAGAGAAATCAACAAGGTGCTAAGCAGGATGGTCAAGTGAATTGAAATGGGCATGTGTGTTCTGCGGCAGCGTGTCTGAGGAAGGGTGGACATTGACCTCTAGAAGAACTGGATATTTTTTAAAATAAAAAGGGCTAACGTTTTGGGCATGCGTGTGGTTGGAAAAGGTTGTCATGATCCTAAAAGACTGAGTGCATTTTTATCCATGCCTCTCCCTCTTCATAGCCATCCCTGGCTGGACCATACCAAACAGTTTGGAGACATTGCTTGCCAGACTACCCAGGAGAGCATGGATAAGGTGGTGCTTCAAATAAAACAGCTTTTGCAGGCAAGGATGTCGATTTGGGGAAGGTTGTGGACTGTGCCATCACAATAGATAGCTCATGGCAGAGCCGCAACAATTCTAAGCACGGGTTCGTTGCAGTGATATTAATAGATACAGGGAAAGTGCTAGACACACATTCTTCATGCTGAACTCATGTGAACAGCATAGTATCATAAAAAGTACAGTCATTATGTCATTCGTTAAATAAAATGTTCTGTAAAGTTTAAGATATTCAGTCATAACACTTTTGTAGTTCCATGGAGCAGTATGGTCTATGTTACAACCCATTTGTTGGACGATGGAGACAGACTGGCATTTGGTGTGTGCAACATGAACAGCCTTATGGTCCAGAATTTGAGCTGGTCAAGGAGGAGTGTGTTGGGCAAAACAAAAGCTATGACAGTAAACTTTACACAATCAGAGACAAAATGTCAATCAGTTAATATTAGAGGAACTCATGTCAGTGAAGTATCCCATTTCAAACTGTTTGGGAGTTTTTATCACTAACAATCTTAAATGGTCTGAACATGTTGATTTTATCTATAAAAAAGCATGCACACGATTGTTTTTTCTGCGCCAGCTTAAACGTGCTAAACTGTCCTCCTCTGATCTTGTTCAGGTATATCAGAGTTTAATTCGGACTGTGGTCGAATATTCTTGTCCTGTGTGGCACCCTGGATTAACTGGAGAACAATGTAAAATAATAGAATCCATCCAGTCAAGGGCACTTAGGATCATTTTTCCTGAATTAACTTATGTTGATGCTCTACATTAAAAGAGCGCAGATTTGAACTCTGCAAATCATTCTTTGCAAAAATACAAAATGACACAGACAAGCTGAACTACATGTACCTTTTAACCTGCAGTCCACGCAGGAGACTGAGAAATAGCCTGTCAAAGTTGAACATACCAAAAATTAGAACTGAACGTTTTAAAAACACTTTTATTCCTTTCTCTTTATTAAACCATTAGTGGTCCGAGTTTTACTTCATCCTCTTTTAAACTAACTTTCAGATGCCTGTGCAAAAATTTATGTTATTTTATTTATTTTATATTATCCTTTTTTAAATCTCATTAAGTTCTATTCGCATATCCTATAGCATATATCAATATTTTAATTTGTAAATTTGTAAATTTTATTCTCACTCCATTTTAGGTATATCTTCAACCTTTTGGTTGCCATGTCTTAATAAAGTTACTTACTTAATTACTTAGATATTTATACCTGTACCAGTACACCTCGAGCGTCATCGAGAAGTCTTCAATACAAGTGTGAATATCGCGAGAGGGTGGCAGTGTATTTTTCACATACATGTATTCTCATTTCACCGAATAACACCTGTGACGACCCGATATGTCCGATCAGGCCAGATATGTCCTACGACCAGAGAAGGCCAGATACATGTATGTCCGACAAAAAAGAGCCAGATGTGTCCGACAGGCCAGATATGTCGGACACAACGGACTTTTTTTTGTCGGACATATCTGGCCTGTCGGACATATCTGGCTTTTTTGTTGGACATATCTGGCCTACCGGACACATCTGGCTCTTTTTTGTCGGACATATCTGGCCTACAGCACTCTTGTTATCCTGCACGGCTCCAGACCCCCCCCCCCAACATACACACACACACACACACACACACACACACACACACGCGCATGCTCGTTCGTGAACGCGTTGCCGCTACCCTTCTCCCTCTTATTTTTACATCAGTAACCAAAGTAAGAATCACAACCAGTACCGCAGCCACCAAGCTACGAACAGAAAAGAGAAGTATTCGATGTGCTTGTACAACACATGAAGTTTATGTCATATGCTTAATGGTATTCCAGGCCAGGACAAAACCAGGAAGTGAAAATTAATTCTTCAGGGATGACTATGTTTCTATTTCAAATAGGGACGCGTCTGGGCTGGCGAGGGTGTATTTTGGATCAAGAAGAACATCTGAAATGACTAGTAAAAATCCGTCAGCAAAACAAAACATTAACATGCATTATCCAGGATCAATGAATATTCAAATAATGTTAATGCAGTTCCTATAGCCCCGACACTTATCATTTTAAGTAATTTTAAATTATTTTAAGATATAAGTGTGCGTGCATTATCAATTCGTGTAATCTATGGATTATTTATCGCCTATGACTCGCAACCTTGAAAATGGAGTTTTCCTAGATCGTTTCCGCAGGTTTTTGATGTATCTGTACCATTGCATCTTTAATACCTTTTTGTGTTTAACACACCTTTCTTTTTCTTTATAATTCTTCTTTCTTTTCCTACTTTGATCCTGTACTGTCAGTCCTCAAAGCATGTCGGATAACGATAGAAGTCAGTGGTTACTTTACCTGATGCAATATCGTGTTTGTCTGCTGTTTATTAATCTATTCTTTCTATCACCAGTATACCTATGTCTGTGCTGTATGGAAGGTGACGGTTACTTTGGCTGGCAGTGTAACACAACAGCTGGATGTTTCTGTAAACAAGGACAGAGATGTCAACAGACTCTAAGAACATGTCCTGAACACTGTGTGGACAACCCCTGGGGAATAGGATGTCATGATGGTGAGTGGAGTTTTAGAGAGGGTTGCAAATAAAATTAAGACTTCGGAGCATATTTCATGAACTATGTAATGTTAGTAGGAATTTTGCTTATATATATACTGAGATAAAAGCTGAAAATCGAAAACATCTGACTGTAAGGAGTAAAAATTATGCCTGGTTAATTATCAACCTACCGGTATGTGTTTAACTATTGTAGAACGTCAATATTACCTAACAGTTGCATTTCAGATTACTGTTGACATTTTTCTTCCAGAAAATATCAACTTGGCCTATAACAAGTCAGCCACACAGTCAAGTATCTTCATAAATGGTAGCAAAGGCGTGAGTTACCCAGCATATTTTGCAGTGGATGGAGACAACAGCACTGATGACCTGAAATGTATAAGAACGAACTACACGAAATTTCCCACCTGGAGTGTGGACTTAGGGGGCTTATATGTTGTTCGTAGAGTCGCTTTGCTAAAACCTACTACATTTGCTGACGTATGTAAGTTTGACATTATGTAGATGTAACTTTTTTGTGACGCTCTTTTATTTTGGGCGTATTTTACTCATTTGTGTAAGGCATTATATCGTCTTTTTTGGAGTACACGTAGGTATAACTGCATTATTCTTTTTCATCTTACCAGGTCAGTTCCAAGGTGTCTACCTCTGCTTTAACAACGGCACAGCACCAGACACGGGATGCAGAAATGTATCTGTTCCTAATTCACAGTGTTCAACTGCAATGTTAGAGCACGGTATAGATCCACCAGTCTTGGGGCGCTACATTACGTTACGAAAAACTGGAGAACAAATATTACGGTTGTGTGAAATCATTGTTAGAGGCTACGCATATCCCTGTAAGTTGACTTTGTGTGGAAGAGAAATTACATGTACCAGAATGATTCTACATGTATGATTAAAAAAGCACTAGAGGCTGTTCACGTATATTAATACATATATTTTTTTTTTTTCTTTTTCTTTTTTGTCAACAAGGAACATGTCACAAAAGTATAGGTAACGGTATCATATACAGATAATTTATTATATAGCTATTTTTGCGTCTCTTTTTTGGGTCAAAATCATGATGTGCTGATGATACGGGTCGAAAATATTGACAACACATCTGTTGCTAGCTTACTGACGAGCAAATAATGTAGATCAGCCAATGCATTTCAGATAATGTCGCCTTTGGAAAAACAGCAGAGCAAATAGGTGTAGTTTTAAATGGGGTCGCAAGTCTTGCCATAGACGGGAATACAAGATTGAACTTCGGAAATGCAGAGACACCTCACTGTGCTCACACGAATTTAACATCATACCCCTGGTGGCGGGTAGACCTGGGCCAGCAGTACGTGGTTTACAGTGTAACGTTATTTAACAGAGATGACGGCGGTGACTGTAAGTGTATGCTTTGAGTAAGTTTTTTATCATTAGAATCCATTGTACTGTTGTCAACGTTCGCACAGACGTGTGTACGGTGTGTTTGTTTGTTAAAGCCTCTGTCACAACCGGTCGTTATTACGGGCTGTTTGCGTCCAAATTTTACGTAGAATCTCACGTCCCACGCAGGTCCTTCTGCGGACAACCATTACCAGGAACAGAGGTCCGCAGGTTTCTGGGGGACTTGGATTACTGTTACTGTTACACCGGCACTGAAATGAAAGAATGAAAGAATGTATAATGTATGTGATTTTGCGTACGACATCCGACTGATTGTATTTAGCTGTGCCTTCCGGCATTTTTATTACATCTCTTGTCACTGTCCTCTCCCCTCCCTGCTCAAAAGATGGCTAAAATGTCAGATCTGCTGTGATTATCTTGTAGATTTTTAATCGGTTAAATAATAAACCTGTGCCTTCAGTACATTTTTAAAGTTACAAAACCATAATTATACCAAGGAGTTTTAGAGCTCCTTGATTATGAGTGTGCAATGGTAATGTACCGCTAAGACGGGTGGCCAGGTAAATGTACATGGACTCACATTCTAGGTGTGGTATTAAATGTATAGATGCATCTATCTATACTTCCAGCCGGCAAGCACTTACATAACTTAACAGTAAATACACGTAACAACACAGATACCGGCAGCGTAGACGAGTGCGCGACACGTGTTCCCCAAGTGCCTCAGGGTGGAAGTGTAGAATTGTCATGTCAAGTTCCACATATTGGTCAAGTCGTGATTGTTCAGCTGCAGTACACGGCCCCTTTAATACTCTGTGAAGTGACTATTAAAGGATACAAATACGAAGGTAAATGCCAATAATATAATATTGCTAAAAAGTGAACCATTTCTAAAGGGAATCAACGTGCTTTCTACAAAAAGGCAAGAGAGTCGACCTTATCTGAAAGAGCTTTGATAACATAATTGATCAACTTGAGCTGCGATGTGCGTTGCTGTCAGTTTGTATTTTTATTGTCATTTTTACCCAAGTGATCTATATTGCTGACAATAATGAATGTTTGGTTGCTGTATAATGATTAATGTATAATGTTTAACTCTGATACTGGAACTTACTTATTCTAATTCTACTGGATAACTAAAACATTCGTTCATGAATTATTATTATTGAGGTTTTCACGCAGTATACTTTCGTATATTCGAAATATAAGCAAGTGTATTTAGTAAAGTATTAGTAAAGTATGTATAATCTTGGTTGCCCTACCGCTAATTGCACGTGTTTTTGTTTACAAATGATTGGAGGTGTGGCAACCTTTTTGACCAAGAATGTATAAGCAAAACTTGAAAGTGCATACGAAATAACATATACATTTATTATTTCAATTTAAAGGGGAAACTCTGCCAAAATGGATTTTCCCTGGACAATTTTCTCGTACTCATGACCCATTTGTCTATCCCCCTTGGCACTTGGATTCGACCCTTAATAAAATTTATGAAAGTTAATTTAGTTTAAATGATTGACCAGTCATTATAACCAGCTAAATTCCAACAGTATATGCACCTATGTGAATATCAACTTTAAGTACCCGACAGAAAAAAAAAGAAGTTAAGGCATTTGTATGGTGTATTTAAGGTTTTAAAATAAGCTGTGGATGTCAAAATAGGCATTTGGGGAAATTTTCAAACCCATGGAGTGTACTTTTACAGTACGTAAAACTTTCCCGCCATTCTGTTTGACATGCATTTGTCTAGAACACCTCGTTTATGACCATTTTTTACGGAATATTTCCCTTATCAAATTTAAAAGAACTCCAACGCATCCGATTAAGTATCGTGTTCTTTTACAGGTAATTGTTCTGTAAACTTCTGATATATATCATTTTCAGAGTGTACAAATAAACACCTTGGTCCTGAATGCAGAAACCGCTGTAACTGTAGATATACCAGTGAACAGTGTCATCCCGTGTATGGAGTCTGTATATCTGGCTGTGCTGAAGGCTGGCAGGGACATAATGGGACTTGTCAAGTAGGTATGTGACAGGCATGATCTCAGAATATGCATTGCTCTCTTTGCTTTTAATTTGCATGTAAACTTCTTTGACACTCTTAGTTGAGATGGAAGTTTGGATCGCTTACTCGTCTTCATTACATGTAGGCTATGGTCGAAGCCAGCATAAAAAAGCCTAGACGGCATATACAGACTTGACATTTAATATGGAATATTTCAGTTTTAAAGGTATATCTAGGTAAAAATGCGTTCTTTTTTCAAAAAAAAAAATCAGATCTCACATAAGATATCTGACTGGAGAAGTATGAAGTCAGGTGTGTCGCTACCAATTAACTGACTACCAAGTCCGTTGCACTGCTGCATTGTGTAATATGCAGTGATTTAATTGGCTAGTGCTCCTTTGGGCTGGTCAAAGCTTGGCTTTGATGAAGCATGGTTCTGTCAAAAAAGTATCCTTATGTCGGCAACTACTGTATCGAAGAATTTGAAATTTTGCATGCAAGCGGTCGGTTTTGCAGTGCGTAAAATGAGCAAAGCAGTGTTTTATGAAATTGGTAAGCTGTGCCAGAAGGGCGCGAAAAAGACAGACATTGCCAGATAGATTATTGTGTCAAACGGAATGGTCTGCACAGTTTTATAGAGTTATGCCCAGACTGATGCACCTACACAAATACCACATCTTACCACCAGAGTACAGGACTCATTGTCCTTCAGGATATGCTGCTGCAATTAAACCAAAACCACTCAGTCCGTTTTGAATGAGGGGGCAAATGGTCACCAAAACGCGTTTTTCATGGCTCTTAGCGAACACCAAAATGGTTTCAGCAGGTTAGCATATCAGGCGACCTCTGAAGAAGTCACTGTAAACAGCAAAACAGCGTAGTCTGTTTCTCTAATGAATTGGGGACCATGTTCGTTTGTGGATAGAACACTGAAACCGCGTGGCTTTCTTTATTGAGGTCAGATTTCACCCGTACCGCTAAACTGGTCAAAAGAGAGTCTACAGCCATCTTGAAGAGGCCTACGACAAGGCGTGTGCCACATCTTAAGTGACTAGGATCATTGACAGCGTCACTATTTGGAGTAGAAAGCACATTGGTGCCAAAACACTAATGGAAGTCATCGATGAAAACCTGAACCAGATCAAATAAAGGAATACTCTGGAAACCACTTGACCATCATTTGATAGGGGGCACCTTAGAAACAATTTTAGGTTGCACGATGAGATTACCGATTCACACAGAGCACTTTTAATAGCAAATAACTTACAGAACCAAGGGAATGAGCAGCTACCCTGGTCATCAAAATCGCCATATTTGAATCACATACACAATATGTGGGTAGGTCATTACTCCCCAAATTAACGGCCTGCACGTCCTACAACAAAACTGAACCAAATTGGACAAGTTTTAACCGGTGCCTTGAATTTTATTCCAGATTAAACTCCAAAAACCAATCCTAAGGAATGCCTTGCCGCTTGAAAGCTCTGGTAGCAGCAAGATGAGGTCCGGCGTAACAGCGACCATTGCTGTGACTAAACATTGACATGAGGGCCCTTTGTGGGGCGTATAACTCTTTTAAAGACGATAATTCGGAAAATATGGAGATCCAAAATATCGCTTTCAATGGTTTTCGTATTTCTTAAAATAGGCAATGCATTTTTGTTTGCTTCACTGGCGAATTCAGTTAATGAACTGATGTCACAATGACATCGAACAGATTATCAAAAGTTTTTAAAACACGATTTTATTCCTTATTTTCATTTATCAGTCAGCAAAATAGGAAAAAACTGATTAAATGTGATTTGGAGAAAATATTCCATATTAAATGTCAAGTCTGTACATGTACCAGCCGAAGTTCGCACAGTGCCCACACACTGCCCGTAATTTATATTATAAATAAACCCCTTTATGTAGCCAAATGTTCACAAGCACAACGAAGCTCTGTTTTTACTCCAAATTAAGTAAGATAAGTCCATATGACTGAAATTGTCATTTATTAATGACGAAAACTAATAAGATACGAAGTTACAAAACTGGGGAGATAATCAAACATCCCCCAAACTATATAAGTGCCAAATATAAAAATAATAAAGTATGTTAATGAATGTAACCAGGATTAATGATGAAAAATATGAGAAATCACAACAGTTATACCTGTAGGAGCAAAAAGTTGGCGCAAATGAAAATAAAAGGCACCAGGCAAACAGTTAAAAACCTGGGAAAATACACCCAGAACCTAGTATACCAGATACCACCACAGGGTTCTCA